AAAAAAAAAAACTGCATTGACCCATGTCACTTTAGTTTTGTGTATTTCACTGTACATAAATTATATTTCAATAAAATGCATTTGTAAAAAAAGAAAAAACAAAGGAAAAAAATGTAATATCAACTAAAGAAACAGAAAATGGTGGCTACTATGATCATTTTTTTAACCCAGTCTTCACCCCATGTAAACATGAGCTTTAAAGAAAATTACTATCACTTGTCCTTAATGCAGAACTGAGCACATACCTGGGTTTCCATGTCATCTTTAAATGTTTAAAAGGAGATAGGCACCAGTAGTCATGCAAAAGCCCAGTTTATATCTGTTCCAATTATTGGATCAGTAAATGAAGACATATTTCAGGTAAAGAATATTCCTGTAGGTCCTTGTAAGCATTCCCAGAAATGCATCTGATCGTCAGTTTTTCAATTCTTCCCTCTTTTTTGAAATTGTCTGCTTCAATCTAGCATGGGCTTTGTAAAGTTTAACTATAGATTTATATGTAACTCTTTGCATATGAATCACTGCCCTCCAAATTCAGAGATTATTAGACCCACATTATCAAGAGTACAAGCTGCACATAAATGTATCCAAATTTGAACTAGTTTTCCATGGAATGAATCTCTCAAAAAAGGCGAGTAGAGTCTTGATTATATATAGCAATAATAACAGGAAATTTAAAACTATCCTCAGACCTCATTTTAGTCATTCTTCTAAACATTTTTTCCAGATAAAATCTTTTACAATTAGCTAAATTAATGAATTTCACTTCCTCCTCCTGCTCTTCTTCCTGTAACTGTGATAATGACCAACAGAATTAGAGCCTTCTATATAGGGAGCTCTGGTGGTGTAGTGCCTAAAGTATTTGACTGCTAACCTGAAGGCCGGCAGTTCAAACCCACCAGCCACTCTCTGGAAGGAAGGTGGGGCAATCTACTTCCATAGTGATACTGCCTTGGAAATCTAAGGAGGGGTCACCATGAGTCGGAGACAACTCAATGGCCCATAACAACAACATATATATATATATTATATAAGTTTTGGTGGTGTAGTGGCTAAGGCATTTGACTGCTAACCTGAAGGCTAGCAGTTCAAACTCACCAGCCACTCCTTGGAAGGAAGGTTGGGCAATCTACTTCCATAGCGATACCGCCTTGGAAACCCAAGGAGGGGTCGCTATGAATCGAAATAGACTCCATGGCAGTGAGTTGTTTTTTTTTT